ATTATCCAAGAATGAAATGAATAAAAGAACCGGTGGAAGAAAGATGGTTACAACCTATATGAGGCATAAGTATACTATTGATGTAAGGGTATAAATAATTGCTAAAGATGGAGAGAAGATTTTTCCCCAGTGGAGTCGTCAGAAAAACTTGTATTGGGGGGGGGGGGGGAGTAACACCACCACAGAAATTTAGATTTCTCCTATTTTAAAATCGAATACTTCATTAAGAATAAATTAAAGTCTCAGACACAATATTTTACAATGGATTTAATATCAAAATAGAGTTTTAGAAAATAATATTATTATGATCAAACACAATTTGAAGAATAACATATCATCTAAAAAGATGAACATGAAATTCTATAGAATATGATTAAAAATATAAATAGGATTTTTGAAAAGTTTATTCATTCTTTTATTTAGATATAACAAGGAGAATATTATATCATCTAAAAAGACAAATATTACATTCTTTAAAATATATAAAAGCAAAAATGGGTTTTATAAAATTCATCATTTCTAAACTTGAATATAACAAATAGAATATTATATTACCTGAAAAGATAACAATAATATTCTACAAGTATATTTAAAATTAGAAATGAGGGTTTTTTTAAAAACTTGTTTGCAATTCCAAAGATTGTTTCCTTCTTTTATAGGCATAAAATAAGGTTTATTTTAATATGGAGTTCTTAAATTCCTATAGGGGCAAGCCCTACAGTTAATTACATCTTAGGAGTGGTGTTCATAAGAAAACATAGAATTAAAGCAACAATTTCAAACCATTTAATTACAAAGTAGAAGATAAGGAAAGAAGTAGGAAATTTTTCAAGGAGAAAGATCAAAATTGAACAATTATTAACAAGTCAAAGGAGTAAAGTAGGAGATACCAAATTCTGAGGAGCTCATAGGCAACCTTAGTCTACCCTATGTTGGGATCTACATTTTATGAGAGATTTTTTATGTTTGAGTTGGCATTTTATTAAAAATTTGCGATTATATTCCCGAAGGGTGAGGACTTAAAATTTGAAAATCTACCTCAAAACTAAAATCTAAATTGGGTACTACAAAATAGTGACCCAAACTTATTTAATGAAATGCAAATCTTAAGTTACTCCGGCCTGGATTAGAGAGCCAGCTAACCACCAAGGCGCTTTAAAAAAATATGTCCGATCTCTTTATAAAAGATGGGTTTGGACATTGTTTAAGTTTTAAGGAATTTAGGACTGAAATCTAAGACATTTCCTAACTGGCCCCTCAACTTATATAGGCTAAATAATGCTTAAGAGTAAAATGCAGTTAAAATTTTAGACACTTTTAATTGGTATCTAATGCAACACATACTAATTAACTCAAATGCATAAAATAATTATGAAGTGGTTTTAAAATCAGGCTTAAAATTTACATTTTTTCTTAGAGTTTGCACAACTTCTTCTTAATAGAACTACACCCTAATAGGTCAGGTGGTCTTCTAGAAACTATAAAAGGAGAGGTGCCTAACAAGAAAGAGAAAGTAATAATATGCAATTAAGCTTACTATTAGTGGTCCTGAGCTAACTTCATAGATCATTTAAATTTCTATGTGTGAACCTAAAATTTTTATTAGAGTTTCAAGTATAAAAATTTATTCATGTCCTCACAAAAACTCTGATCGTATCCAAGTAAAATAAAATACGGTATGCAAGAAAACCTAGAAAAATAGACAATTCTACTATGCAAATAATATAAAAAAACAAATTAAATTATTCAAATTATAATATCCAAAAGCCATATGCTAAGTTCTATTTTATTTATAACCCAGAATTTGTTGAAAAGTAAAGTGGCCGGGTACCACTAACAACAAACCTATATTCTAATCCTCAGATCGATGCAAGTGTTTTTAAAATGGGATATCTCTTCTTTTCTTCACTTCTTCATCTTCTCTCCTTAGCCTTCTTTCCTTCTATAAGCTCCTTGAATTCATCGGGTCTAGATATCCAAATGAAAAGAAACTTGTTCTTTTTTTTTTTGAGGAAATGCTAATTGCATTAAAGTGAAGAAAACTAAGTACAACCATCAGGAGGATGATATTCTTCCTTGATTAAATTAGCCATCAAGAGAGGGATATCATCAAAAGAAAAACTGTCAAAGTAAAAACTATCCTCTAAAGCCATAATAACACACAAGTTTGCTACCTTATTACGTTCTCTATAAGCATGTACAAACACAACTTTATTGAAGTCATTCACAAATAAAGAATCACTTACTAGATTGAAGATCATGGTACCTTTGTCTTGCTTCAATGATTTTTGAATGTAGTTGATAACATTCAAGTTATCACTTTCAATAATAACTCCTTTATAATCTCTCATCCAGCTTTTGACATAATCCTTGACCGAGAGAATAGCACCCATCTCCAATTATGCAATATCCCAATGAATCATCTTTCTCCCAAAAGCAAGAATGAATCTACCAATGCAATCTC